CAGTTTTACCTGCCTTTTTAAATTTCATTATGGAGCATCGTTACCAAGGGAACAGTTCTAAAATCAAAGTATTGCTGTTCTTCTCTACAGTGCCACTCAATCAGCACAACTTCCAGATGCAGCCTCCCTCAATTCATCAAGACGAAAATTGTGATTGAGCTTTTGTTCGTCAGAATATAGGGTTACTTGAATGTAGCATGTCCAATTATAGCAGGGCCAAAATAAATCCCTTTGCTTTAGCATAGCCAGATATTCTGTGCTCTTTTGAGAATATTGCTGTTCTAAATGTTATGTTGGACCATTTTAAGAAATTGTTGCATACTTACTGTAATTGCATTTTAATAATGTTCTTTGTTAGCTGGCATAGAAGTAAAGGAATCATTTGCAGCAATTTAAGTTTCAAAATTACATGTATTGCCTAGGCTATAATATATTATAATATAAAGGATGGAAGGCACCACAATGGTGCAGCGGGTAGCATTGCTGCCTCACAGCTGCAGGGACCCTGGTTCTACCCTGACTGTGTGGAGTTTCACATATTCTACTTGTTTACGCGTGGGTTTTCTCCGGCTTCTCCGGTTTCCTCCCACTTCCCAAAAACATGTTGGTAGGTGGACTGACTATCCTAAATTTCTCCTGGGTGTGTGTCGCCCTGCAATGGACTGGCATCTCATCCAGGGTGTATTCCGCCTCACACCCAGTGTTCCCATAATAGGCTCCAGATCTACCATGACCATAACCCGGTTTAAGGGCTTACTGAATGAATGAATGAATGAATGAATTGACAAATGAACGAATAAAGGATAGACAACTGGACAGCTTGCTAAAAGCATCTGATTCATTCTACCAATAGGGTTATAAATTGTACGTGTCGCTGGTAGACTTTTCCGCTAGATGCCATTTCATGTTGCTCCTCCCATCGCTCAAATTCTAAAGCAATAATATCAGGAGTAATTCTCTATGATGGGGTCATGGATGAAACTCTCATTAGTTACAGTTGCTTGAATCCCTGTCACTATTAGATAAGACTGGAAGCTTGGGCCACCCTTAAATGCAGAGCAGCGTTAACATTATTTAGTGGATATCTAGACACGGATCCAGAGTTCATGGAGGAGGATTTTGTCATGACCAGAACAAGCTTTGCCAGCAGTCACATTTCATTCCATTTTCCTGTTCCTGCATCAGCAGCTCAGCTTTGATTAGAGGCTGCTATGAGGAGTGAACAATACACATGTATAGACACAATGTCTTATATAGATTCCCTGAGGTTTAATGAACTTATATTTTTGCTGGAGGGACTTTTTTTTTTACTTTTAAGTATGTGTGTGTATATGTGGGCGTGTTTTTATATCTTGGTGGGTACCAAATGTCTCCCTAAGGATAGGAGTAATTGGCTGCATTAATAATAATGTCAGTGGAAGGTCCTCATAAGGATAGTAAGCTGTGTGTGTGTGTGTGTGTGTGTGTGGCTCTTTATGAGGATAGTGTCAAATGTTCTAACAATAACCAGACAAAAATACAGTGTTTTACAGTTTTTATTTGAAAAACATTTCCTTTTGATTACTGAGATTAAGGTTAGGGTTAGGTTTAGGAATAGCATTAATTAACTACTAATCATTATGTCAATAAATGTCAATAAATGTCATAAAATTACTAAAACTGTGTGTGTGCGTGTGTGTGTTTGAGTGATGGATATGATTGACAGACTAGTGAAAAGAGAGTAATATGATCTATGTCATCACTATTGTCACCACCATATATTTCATTAAGTTTTAATTTATTTTGATGCATCATCATCAATTATGGTAGTTACACACCAGCTGACATGATTTTTCTGTTCATTTGAAATTCTCATAGCAATATTCCCCAAAAAGCTACCATTTTTCAGCAGTTTCAATTTCAGACAGGACTTGAGATATGTACTTTATATCTGTGCTCTTCAACTAAGACACAGCTATAAAGCAGATATCTCAAGCCCTGTCTGGAATTGAAACTGCTGTCAAATGGCAGCTTTTTGGGGAATATTGCTATGAGAATCTCAAATGAACATACACCTATATGGACACCTCTTAATCCAGGCAGACAATGTACTTTTTTGGAAATCTTGTTCTTTGGTGACAACTTGCACTGCATGTTTGAGCATGTGCCATTTGATCTGTATGATACTGTTACTCAATCAGCTGAAGTTGTAAGGACAGTAGCTATCTCCTGCCATCTCTCTTTCTCTTTGTCAGGTTGTGTAGATGATGTAGAAATATTATACAGGAATGATTGTTGCAACAGCTTGACCAAACTGGCTTTGCCCATAAGATACACTGTCTTTGTGTCATTTTTAATGCTATTACTGTTATTGCACAAGGATGCAGAAAATCAGTCCATGACTTTGATAAAGTCCTTTTGTGAGACTGCTCATGCTGAAAGTCAACCAACCAAAAATTCTGATGTCAGAAATCGTTTCTATCATCCAACAGCTCAATTGGTCATAGTTTGGTGGGCAATTAGTCTTCCATTATTCTCCCTCAAACTGCATGGTAAGCAACATCTAATGCAACTGAAATTCAGCCCCATTGTGAAACTTGAGCAGCAGAGGTCAAATTGGTTTTAAAAAGAAGCTCAAACCATAGTGTCTGTTTCACTGTATCTGAGAGTAATAGTGCAGTTTAGTGTTAATTTACACCGATGTCTTCAGAGAATATCAATGGGTGAGTTCTTGTCCAAGTGCATTGTGAAAACTGTTGTAAAGTTCTCAATCCATCTTCAGCAACGACGACTATGTCTAAACCTCTTTTTTTAAAATGTCGGATAGGTTCTCAAGGTCTGTAATTTTCAACCTGTTCTCAGGGCTTTACATAAATTTGTTAAAATTCAGTTTAATGAGCTTCATTGACATGGGCATTACAGCAGTTACAGCATTGCCAGAGCATTGAAATTACAAAGGCATTTTATACAAACAGTTTATGCATTTATCCAAAATAAAATAAGGAAAAAATAGAGCAAAATGCACATATCAAATAATGACTCGGTGCACAGGTCAGTGAAGGTGTGTGTCTGTGTGTTCAGTCAACAAATTTTGGAGGTTTGTAGCAAGGTCCCATTTTAATGCCTGTACAAGCAACAATCCGGGTATACTCCCTCACTCAGGATCACTCATTCACTCAATCACTGATTCATTCAGCCACTCACTCACTCGATCACTCACTCACTCACCCATTGAATCACTATCACTTACTCATTCACTCACTCTCACTTACTCTCTCACTCACTCACTTGCTCACTTTCATTCACTCATTGACTCACTCACTCAGTCTCTAATTCACTTACTCACTCTTTCAATCACTGTCACTCACTCACTCACTCACTTACTGACTGATTGACTCACTAACTCACTCTCACGCACTCATTCACTCCCTCTCACTCACTTTCATTCACTTACTCACCCAATCACTGTCATTACTCATTCACTCACTCACTTACTCACTTTCATTCACTCACTCACTCACTAACTCTCACTCACTTTCATTCACTTACCCATTCAATCACTGTCACTTACTCACTCACTCACTGACTCATTCACTCCCTCTCACTCACTTTCATTCACTTACTCACCCAATCACTGTCATTACTCATTCACTCACTCACTTACTCACTCACTTTCATTCACTCATTGACTCACTCACTCAATCTCTGACTAATTCACCTACTCACTTACACACCCTTTCAATCACTGTCACTCATTCACTCACTCACTAACTCTCACTCACTTTCATTCACTTACCCATTCAATCACTGTCACTTACTCACTCACTCGCTCACTCACTTTAAGATGATTTTCTTGAAATTTGAAGATTTCTTGACACTTGAAGATTTTCCATAAGGGGGGCTTTTGGTACACTTGTATAGAGAGCTGCATGGGAACAGGGACAGCATTAATACCACAGGTTTTCACAGATAGCCACTAAGAAAAAAATCAGTGTTAAATGTGAAAGCCGGGATGAATTTACAATGAACTACACTATTCCCACAGGGCTAATAATAAATTGATGCCACCGTAATGGTAGTGAAATGATAAACGTGGCAGTCACACACATTAATTCATTGTGGCCTTTTACACACGCTATAGCTTATTTTTTTCACTCGAGTTACAGTATATTTATGCCTTCATATGGAAGATTTCTAATTAAAAACACTATGTATTATCTTTGCATATTATAATTACAAATTTAGTGCACGAAAGCACAACAGTAAATACTCGATGAGCTGCTCATATTGACACACACCACTCACATCCAGTGTAAATTGCAGATACATGTCCAAGGTTTATGTCTTGTAATTACCACCAGTGCTTAAAAATGCAACTGTCAGAGCCTTTTCACTGTAACATCAGTGTCTTTTTTTTCTGTGTTTTGTAATACACCAATAATGATTTGTACTACATTTCTGTTGGCAAAAAAGATTTATAGATGGTCCTTTGAATGGATGTTCCATTAAATATTTTTGAGGAGCAAAAAAAAAAAAAGTCTGCCAAATGTAGCAGAAGAAGGATATATAATACCAAGAATATAGATAAATATTAAGTTTGCACATTAATGTGAAGCAGACCACTTTAAATATTGGTATACGTTTTAGAAGTAGATGTAAATAATTTATAGAATGAGAAATGTAATTGTGATTGTATGTAATGGGGTGGCTTTGGGACCCTGCAGGGAGAGTTATGAGTCCCATATGTACCATGTTGCTTTGCATCAATCACACTCTCAGTCTTTGTCTACTAAGAATTTTTGTGTGTGTGTGTGTAAAGAATCTCAGAGATATAACATTGGTTGTTGTTCTTCTTCTTTTGGGTGCTCCTGTCGCCACAGCGGATCACTGGTCCGCATATTTGATTTGACACAGTTTTTACGATGAATGCCCTTCCTGACACGACCCTCCCCGATTTTATCCAGGCTTGGGACTGGCACTGGGAGTGCACTGTCTTGTGCAACCCCAGTGGCTCGGGCTGGTTCTCTGGCCGGGAATCTAACCCGAGCCACAGCGCTCAGAGCGCTGTGGCCTAACCACTAGTCCTCCAGGGACCCATTCACAGATATTCAGGGGGATGTAAATAAAATATTTATAACAGCTTAATTTTGCCAAAAAAAAAGAAACCAGAGTATTTATCCTTTTAACAGATAGAAAGTAGAAATGATATTTAATTTAAAAAAAAACTTTAGAGTTATTAAAGGAAGTAAATTCACTTCTGCTTAAGTTTGTTCCAAATTGCTAGGAATGTTGATGGCTTTTGTAATGGTCAAAATGAGCAGATGGACCTATTATTCCAGCATTATTGTCATCTTTGTAAAGTCTCTTGAGCATAGGAAAATATTCAGTATGAGCCATAAATTGAAAAATGTACTCATTAAGTTGCTGGATTAAAGTAGATCACACATTAAAGTCAGCACACATTTTTTTCCATTCTGTACATAGATTTTATGAATACAGCTGCTGCCTATTCCTGTTCTCCAGAGCTGCATTTAAATAGTATCAATTGTACTGATCTGTAGTAGTGGTTGTTATTTTCTTGGGATTAATGCTGAGTGGGAACTCCTTAGAGACCATGATCTCCCACACATATTGGAATAAAAGTGATATGACTTGCTTTTAATCCAGGTTCATGATCAATTCATATGGACACTTCAAATCAGTTAATAAATATACATCATCCCAGTTTAATGATCTGGATATTTTAGAACTGTACTTTAACTCCATGGGGAAGAGCTGAATTGGAATTGCACCTTAGGGTGTTCCTCTGAACAACTGACCAAGCAGTAGCCTCTGCACAAAGAAGAGGCATGGGAAAAACACACTTCACAAGACATTATAAATTGACATTTGGGAACATATGCAGTGGCCTAAAAGGATGGTTGTTTTACTGAGATAGAGCTTGAACGTCAGGTTGTGGTTCATTTTCAATGAATACATGTTCTCCCCAGGTGCAATAAAATTGCCTGCAAGTTCTGTATTACAGAAAGTTTGCATACCCCTAGCTGAAAATGATCTGATAAACAAATCATGTCATGCAACTTCAGTTTTACAGATGTTCCTTTAGTGTTACAGGTAACAGAAATGGTTTAAAAAAAAGTGTATGTTAGGAAATTATGCAAGCAAAATGATTTTTTTCGGAGTGTGATAAAAGTCCACAGCTGTGTTAATGTTTAATAGTTTGCTGTTTTTGCCGGGTCTTGAGATAGCTGTTTTCCTGATTCCCATGTAAGTAAAGATGTGCTCAGTTTTTATCATTATCAGTTATATAATTGTGATTAGATACCTTTTCTTGTTCATGTTTTCACCCAGGAAACAATGTTCTGCACTCAACTATAAATAATAACTCAACTATAAATAATACTGTTTATTGAAATAATACATTATCAAATTTTTGACAGTTCTTGTGTAGGCTAGTTACCGAAATTTGTTTTCATAAAACATTGATGTTATAGCTAATGTATGTTAATGTCGGCTAGGTTTGTCCTCATAAATAGTAGAATTAGTCTAAATCCTTTCAAGGTGTTTCAATACGTTTCACGTATCATTGTATTGCAGGGTATCAAATAACTTTTGAAATAACAAAACTCCCTGTGTTGTGCAATGTCCTTTCAAGATAATCTAAAAATAATGTAGTAGTTTCCTTTCAGGATAATTAAATTAACTCTTACATTAAATAAATAAAAGACATCAAGCCTCTTTGGTCTAAAGCTCAGTCCATTAGCCTGCATTGGCAATGTGGGAGAGGTGATGGGACAGATAACAAAATGTGCTAGAGCCGACACTGAACGGTGAGTTGTGTGTCACTTCCAGCCGTGATATCTTGAGCTCTGCTTATTTAGTGTCCCCTCCAAAAGTATTGGAGCTTTAATTTCCTGAGCTACATCTAGATGCGTTAAACAACTTGGAACATGGCATGTTTTGTTTGAACCCACCCATTTTTCAAGTGATCAGATATACTGGAACATGTGACTGACAGGTGTTTCTTGTTGCCAAGGTGTGCCCTGTTAGATTGCTTGTTTAAATGATTAATAGCTCTGATGTTTATCCTCTGTCTGAGCCCTGGGTTTCACCTGTGAAGACTGCATTTGTTGTTAAAAAGGATAAACCATCATGAAGACCAGAGAGCTGTCTAAGGGAGAAAAGCAAGCCATTTTGAAGCTGAGAAAATAGGGAAAATCACTCAGAGCCATTGCACAAGCATTGGGCATAGACAATACAACAATTTGGAATGTCCTGAAAAAGAAAGAAACCACTGTTGTACTAAAAAACAGACATTAAACAGGTCGGCCAAGGAAAACAACAGCAGATGATGACAGAGACCTTGTGAGAGCTGTGAGGAAAAACCAAAAACAACAGACTCTGACATCTCCAACAACCTCCACAGGGCAGGGGTGAAGGTATCACAATCCACCTTTAGAAGAAGACTTCAAGAGCAGAAATATACAGACCATACCACAAGATACAACCCACTCATCAGCAGTAAGAATCAGAAGACCAGATTGAAATTCACAAAGAAATACAGAGATGAACCACAAAAGTTCTGGAACCAAACCTCTACTCGAAAGTGATAGAAAGGCAAAAGTGTGGAGAAAGAAATTATCTGCTCATGAGCCAAAACGTATGAGCTCATCAAGCACAGTGGAGGTCATGTCATGGCTTGGGTTTACATGGCTGCTTCTGGAATGGGCTCACTAATCTTTATTGATGAGTTGAATTCAGAAGTCTACAGAAACATTGTGTCTGCCAATTTACAGAGGAATGCCTCCAATCTAATTAGGAGGAACTTCAGCATGCAGCAAGACAATGAGACAAAACACAGTGCCAACACAACAAAGGCCTTCATCAGGGGGAAAAAGTGGAAGGTTTTAGACTGGCCAAGTCAATCACCAGACCTTAACCCAATTGAGCATGCATTTCACCTCCTGAAGAAGAGACTGAAGAGAGAAACCCCTCCAAAACAAACAACAACTGAAAGAAGCCAGAAAAAGCATTACAGAAGATGAATGCAGCAGTTTGTTGATGTCATTCCCAAGCAAGGGATATGCAACCATGTAATAAGTGTTATTTACTTTAATTTACTTTAAGCCTACGCTCTAATTTGCTCCCCAAAAATTTGGGTGGTCTGCCACCAAAGGTGCCATGTTCTAAATTGTTTAACACATCTAGATGTAAATATCAGCAAATGAAAGATAAAATTCTGATCTATCATCTTATATTCACCTTTTGATCTCAAATCCAAATGTCTACAGTGTATAGCAAAAACAAAAGAGTTGGCCTTGTCATGCCAATACTTTCGGAGGGGACTGTATATATTTTCCATCCTTATATATTATATATAGGTGCTTGCTTTTTCGTATTTTGATGCGTGTCGTACTATTGTCACAAAGGAACATTAGCAAACTAACAAATATTCATTAAGTTAGAATAAGAAAAGATTATCCTGATGAATTGTTGACAATTTATTTTAAAATCTATTTGACGTTACCACAATCAAGTCGAGCTTATTCCGAGATTAAATTGTTATTCAGACTGGTGCCTTCTTATTACAGTTATTATTAATAACATTATTTCTAATGTTCAAATTAATAGCAGTAATCTAACAACCTAAAAATGACCTGAAGTAAAAATGCAGTGTAATACAAAAAGATTCCAGTGAAACAGGACATTTGGATGAAAGTCTGTCATAACTTGTGCCAGTTTATAACCAAAATGTCATTCGTTCCAAGAACTGCTAAAGTGTGTAGATAATTTCTTTCCCTGTCAAGATTTATCCCCTCTTTGCTGTCATAGTAACAACTAGCAATTCTAACAGGGATGCCATTAATTTTATTCCATTACTGTTGAAGCGTTCCACCACTAGAAAGGAGAAATCTTTATTTCTGATGGCAATAGGGTGCTTGATGAAAAGATCAGACAATCATTTCTTAGTTTCCCCAATGTAGAGATAATTGCATCTCTTGCAGGAGATACCCAATAAAACCCATGCAGTGATGCATGAGGAGTGAAATATGACTAAGAACTGATCCTTTAGGGCCTGTGATTTTTGTGGCTGAACTGTAATTATTCTTTGACAAATTATTTATCTGACGTTATTTGTTTCACTCCTTTTTTGTCCTGAATGTGGGAGATTAGTGAGCCAGTATACGCAATCTTCCATGAATAATATAGGGCAAATAACGTTTGTGGCGATAAACAGCTGGCGCACCTCAGCACGGCATATAGCAAACCCTAAATTATGAAGGGTTTTTGAATGCATTCCAAAATATGCCAGTTTCATGAATATCTCTGTGCCCTTTCAGGATGGATATACATTAGTGTAGATGAATATTGTACTCTGTTGGCCTACTGGCTTTCCAAATCAGGTAGTCTAGGTACACTTTCTGTACCTAAACTATCTGAAAGCTCTGGCAATTGGCATTTCTTTCATCATTATAATCTTTTCACATGCCTCTTCATCATATAGTCTGCTTTGCTTATGTTTTGTAATTGTTTTGATCCTAAAATCGGTTGTGCCTGAAAAAAAGGGCTAATTTTATCTACCATTTCTGGATGTTTCCTAAAGATGACACAATACATTTTCTGATTTGACTAATTTGACTGGTGTTGTTCCCTCAATGTCACTGGTTTTTGTGATGTAAAAAAATGAAACCAAGATAAATCATGTCAGAACTTTTTCCACCCTCAATGTGAAATTACAATGTATAAAAATTAAGTGAAAAACAATCAGAAACATTCTAGGGAAAAACAGGAAAAATATTAGAGAGGAAAATTAGCGCACACCCCTAAATTAATACATTATTGAAGCACCTTTTGATTATATTACACCACTCAGTCTTTTTGGCTAAGAGTCTATCGGCATGGCATATCTTCACTTGGCAATATCGTCTCACTCTTTTTTGCAAAAACATTCTAGATCCATCAAATTGTAAGGGCATCTCCTGTGCACAGCCCGCTTCAGGTCACCCCACAGATTTTTAGTTGGATTCAGGTCTGGGCTCTAGCTAGGCCATTCAAAAACATTGATCTTCTTTTGGTTGAGCCATTCCTTTGT